TGCCGGAGGGCGGCTCTCCGAGCCCACCTGGGAAGCCACGCACGGCCCTGGTTCCCTAGGGGTGCGTAATCCTGTCGTGTCTGCGATGCTCTTGCTGAAATAATAACAAAAAAAAGCCAAAAAAAACCCCAAGAGCACGCTGGAGGGATGGGCACGCTGCTGTCTGGCCACTCGTGGGTGCTGGTTGCTTCCGTAGGGCTCTCAACTCATCCCTAAAATGTGCCAGGCTCCCCAAATCGGGCAGGAAACGCGGGTGTGAAGGTTTTAAACGTGTAGTTTGGGTGCGAGGTCTTCAAGGAGAGCAGCAGGTAAAGCCGTAACTCCCGGAGGTCTGGTTTTAGTGCCCGTCCAAAACTCGCAGCTCCTGTGGCCCTCCAAGGGAGATGTGATAAAGCAAATATCTGCACCGGTTTAATAAGATCTTGGCCTTTACAACTCCGGAATTCTTCATCAAGAATCCAGCAGCGACCGCGGCAAAGGAATTAATTCTCCTTTTCCCTTTAAACACTGTTTGGCTGCTTTTAGACCAGGCTTTTCTCACTGATGCCGGAGTGTGAGAAAGAAGCGAGTGCTGTATCCAAGCGGTGATGGCTCTTGCTCCTCTTTCATTGAGAACTTTCCATCATCATCAAAAGTGTCAATTACCCAATGCACTTTTGGGCAGTGTCGTTAGAACGCTGTAATTAAACCGCGCCGGAAATAATTCAGGGCGAATTTAATTGAAAGGGGTGATATTTCTAACCCGGCCGTATGGCTTTGTCACGCTTTAAAAATGTTCAGCACGTTACAATTTGGAATTAGTTTCATTATTATTTGGATCTTCGGAGGTTTTCCTCTGTTACGTGCTCTTGAGGACTTTGGTGGCCCCTGGGATTTTAATTTTCGCCATTTGTCCAGTGCTTTCCTTTCCAACGCGACGTATGTGAATGTCTTCCTCCCTCTTTCCCCAGGTGGAACTGCATCGTGACCACCCACGGCCCCCCTCCTATGGCAGGACACTCCTCCTGCGTCATCGAAGACAAGATGATTGTCTTTGGGGGCTCGCTAGGGTCTCGACAAATGTAAGTCTGGGGTGGGGGCATCTTGTGAGCGAGGAGCATGTTGTGGTGCTCCTGGGGTAGCTCACTGTGTTTTGGAAGGAAATCTCCACAGGGTTTGGGGGGGCTGCCTGCTGCCTTAGCACACCCTTTGCCTCTCACAGTGAATCCCCTCGAGGAAAACCTGATTCTGCCATAAAACTCTGTCCTCCGCTCGTGTTTCAAACTCCCAGAGGGCTTGGTTGTATCATCCACTGTCTCATCCTTGCAGGAGCAATGACGTCTGGGTGCTGGATCTCGAGCAGTGGGCTTGGTCCAAGCCCAACATCTCTGGGCCCAGCCCTCACCCCCGAGGTGGCCAGTCTCAGGTGAGCTCTCCTGCCCTAGCTCAGCACCAACACCTGCTGCCAAAGATAAACCAGACGCAGATTAATTCCCAGCTTCCGGGCAGCTCTCGCCAAGTTGCCTGAAAGCCAGCGCCTGATTTCCAAGTTATCTTTGCAGCCTTTGCCCGACGGGCCCTTGTTTTCCTTCACCGTCTATTCTGTGAGGGTGCACTTTTCATCTCGCTATCGCTTGGGCAGGTACCGTGCCGTGCCTTGCGCGTGACTCAGAACCCTAACGAGCGTTTCTAGAAAACAAATTGCTGTTTTAACCCAGCCACTGTTCCCCGTGGCGTTTCAGATCAATGAAGCCTTATCACAAGTGGGTTTGGCTCTGGGCCCTTTTGAGTGCTCCGCTCTCCCCATTCTCTGCTCAAGCGACGACGCCGGGTTGTACCCATGGGTCTGGCAGCGCCTTTTTGATTGCCTGCCCGGGGCAGGGAGCTCCTGGGA